ATATTTATACTTATATTAAATGATTCCCAAACTCTCTTCATTCTTCCTTAATTTCCTTTTTTCATAACTCCTTGGATCTTTTAGTTAATTGAAAATCAGGTACTGACAGACCAATGACATTTGTGTTTTCCAAGGGAGACAAATAGCCAGCCTAAACCAGTCTTATCCCAAAGCTTTATCTGACCATACAGGCCTACACTAATGCACCTGGCCTCAGGCTTCATCGTTAATTAATCATGGATAGCCTCGCCGCTTTCTTTAAAGTTATCCCAAATTACTTAAGCTTTAGATTTTTATCAAAATTGTCTTAAGTGTGGATCTAGATCAGCAAACATTTTTGTCAAGATCCAAGGAGTACATATTTTAGGCTTTTGCTGGCCCAGTCTCCGTTCCAAGTACTCAGCCTTGCGATTTCAGGGGTGTCTGGCTGGCTCAGTAGATAGAGCATATGACTCTGAAATCTCAGGGTTGTGAGTTCAAGCCCCACAGTGGGTGTGGAGCCCACTTAAAAACAAACAGAAAAACCTTGCTAATTTAGTGTGAAAGCAGCCATAATAGACAACACCCCTAAGTGAACAAGTGTGGCTGCATTCCCATAAAACTTTATTTATGGGCCCTAAAATTTGAATTTCATATAATATTCACACAGCACAATTTTTTTCAACCATTTAAAAATGTAAAAATAATCCTTAGCTTCCAGGCAGAATAATCGGCCACAGCAGGCAGCAGGCCACATCTGGTCTCTGAGCCACAGTCTGATTCCTGATCTAGACTACCAAAAGTGTGCCGACAAGCAACTCTGCATTCCCCCCAGGCCTCCAGCAGTAAATATCTGCAAATTGATCCTGTTTATCTTTCCTTCTATTCAGAAGGACTATCCCATGTCTTTGAAATACTAAGGCATCTAATTAACACATCAAACAGCGTAGATTTCACGAGTTGTTCCAAGGGCATATGAGAGCTTCAGCAAGAATTAAATGAAGGTATGTGTGTGGTAAGGAGGTTTCTAGTAGCAGAGGACATTCACTTTTAAAGTCTAAAACAATGCACAGGCCACCAAAAAAAAAAAAAAAAAAAAAAAAAAAGGATGAACTTGAGATCACACCTTCTTCAAAAGTCCTCTGATTGGTAATGTCTCCTCACTGATTATCCCCCAGTAAAGAGAAAGAACAGTTTAACAGCAGGAGCTTAAACACTCTTTGTTGAGGGAGGCAGAAAGAAAACACAGAATTACCAGCCCAAATATTACAGCCACTACTCTGGTATTTTCAAGGAACCTCTGGGGCTCAAGTTTTATTTTAGCAGTTAGTCTGAAACCTGTGGCTTAAAAAAATCCCCACAACCTCATCTACCGTTTAATTCCTAGAATGGCATATAACTGTCTCAAAGAAGCATTATTAGAGTTCAGATACTGTAAGTTCCCCCCAAAAACTTACAATAAAAAGAAAATTAAGTTTAAATAGACATGGAAAATTAACTTCAAATGTTTCCCTGTGTTCAAAGAATTCATGGAGTTTGGGGTGGGGGCCATGGGTATGGGATATGGGATACAGCCCATACAGTGGAGGGCCATTATTTACCAGGAAGCCAGGATCTTTTACATATGTTAACTCCAACCCCTGACTAACAACTCATAAATCATCCCTCCAGAAGATATAGTCTTATATAATCTCTACCTGCTGCCCCACCACATCCTGAAACCACAGAAATATGAAAGGCTAACTTCATCAGGAGCCAAATGATCAACAATTCCAGGAGTAAGAGGACCATCCAAGCCCAGAAATTAAAAGACTTCCACATGCAATGAGTCTCTAGGAATTTTTGTCCACTGATACCTTTCCGGGTCAGACCTGTGCTCTGGTACTAAATACATACTGTGTATGTGTAACAAGGCCATCAACAAGACTCCGGACTAACAGAGTCTCCTTATACATGTTGGGCAGAAGGAGTTCTCAAAGGCAGGATACTACCAGGCTGATATGCAATCATCTTATTAAAGACCCTAAACTGAAAGATTTCTTAATACAGAGTGGTAATTTCCCAGATTGTACACCCTCCCCCCATCCCCTGCCAAAGACAAGGCCTTCAATCATGATCTACTCCACAGAGCTTCCCTGGTCCGTGACTCTAAAAAGAAACCTTTTAGGGAGAGTGAGAAAAAGAGTGTGAGCTAGAAGTCACCAAAACATGTAAAAAAGAGTCAGTGGCACAGGAAGGACCAAATGATTGGGTCTCTATGGCTCTGGGGGCCCCAGCCATACAGGCCTCTATGCAATTAGCAAAGAATTTGTCAAGATGAATCAGACTACCAATTGATGGAATGGTGAGGAAGGGGCTGCCCAAGCTGATAGCAATTCAAAGAGACTTTCAAGTAGCTACTTAACATGTCTGGTGAGCATTATTTAAATTTGATGGGAAAGCTTCAAAATAATTCTTACCAGGTTTCAAATCTCCTTTCTAATCTGCCAATCTTAAGAGAGGAAAAGGGAAACTATGAAGAACAAGTGCATCTTATCTTCCGTGCTGTAAAGAAACTAAGTGCCACACACCGAGCGCTTGGATACATAACGTGCCTGTCCAACCCATGCAGGTCTCTTCCAAAAACAATGGTGAAAAGCAACCCAGGGTGAGTTGGGAATATGGCCGAATTCTCAGCAGGGGAAGCGCAGTATGAAGCTCCCAATTCAAAGCAAAATCAAATCTCAAAAAGCTGGAATCATTTCAACAATAATTCCAGCTCCCTCATGAAGTCTACCACAGAGCACCTGACTTCCCCAAGCAACCTGTGAGGAAGTTACGAAGCCATAAAATACGGTAACTATTAGTAGAAAAAAGTTATCATCAGGTCAAAAACTAGTTAACAGGATAACTGAAAGCTGGCGCCATCACAGGGTGACAGTGACAGACACTGGAAAAGAGAAAGCACTCAAAAAGGACATCTATGCTAAAGAGTCCCTTCTCCAGACAGCAGCCAGGTAGCCTTTGATAAAGGACTTCAAAGCATGATGGCTCTGCTCAAAGCCCTCTGTTGTGGGTTAAACTGTGTCCCTCAAAAAGATATGCTGAGAAGCGCCTGGGTGGCTCAGTTGGTTAAGTGTCTTGATTTCAGCTCAGGTCATAATCTCAGGGTGGCAAGAGAGAGCCCTGTGTGTGGGGCTCTGTGCTGGCCGTGGAGCCTGCTTAAGATTCTCTCTCTCCTCTCTCTGCCCCTTCCCACCTCTAGCACGCTCTCTTAAAAAAAAAAAAAAAAGGTATGTTGAATTCCTAACTCCCCATACCTGTGAATGTGACCTTATTTGGAAATAGTACCTTTGCATATGTAATCAAGTTAAAATGAGATCATACAGGATTAGAAGGGTCCCTATATCCACTGGCTGGTGTTTTTTTTTTTTTTAAGAGTTTATTTATTTATTTATTTATTTGAGAGAATGAGAGAGAGAGAGCATGAGAGGGGGGAGGGTCAGAGGGAGAAGCAGACTCCCGGCTGAGCAGGGAGCCCGATGTGGGACTCTTTCCCAGGACTCCAGGATCATGACCTGAGCTGAAGGCAGTCGCTTAACCAACTGAGCCACCCAGGCGCCCCCCACTGACTGGTGTTCTTAAAAGAATGTCACGTGAAGGCACAGAGACACACAGGGAGCAGCCTGTCATGTAATGAAGGAGGCAGAGACTGAAGTTATGCTGCCACAAACCAAGGAACACCAAGAATTACTAGCAACCACCAGAAGCTAGAGAAGACAAGAAAGGACTGTTCCCTAGAAGCTTTGGAGGGAACATGGCTCTGTGGCTCTGCTGACACCTTGATTTCGGACTTCTAGGCTCCAAATCTGTGAGAGAATACATTTCTGTCATTTTAAACCATTAACAAAATGTTCCAGAATTCCCTGTATTTGGCTAACTTCAGCTCCTACTGTTCCCTCCCTAGTCACTCCACTCAAGTCACCCTGGCCTCTTCACTGGTCCTCAAAACCCTCCCACCGCAGGGCCTCACTCCATCCCAGGCTGGTCCTGCTTTAGGCCTTTGCAGATAACCATTCACTCTGCTGAAAGGGTTCCCACCCCAACAATCTGCAAGGCTGTTCCCTCAATCTTCCCTCAGGGCTCTGCTCAAGTTCCCTTATAGGCAAGGCTCCGCCTAATTACCCTTCAGCATCTCTTATCCCCACCCCACACACCCTATTCCTCCTTCCACGGCTTTATTTTTCTCCATAATACGTAAGACAAGCTGACGTATGTATCTTGCTTAACCTTTAAAAGATCGCTCTCTCTCCATAATGTTAGCTCAGTGAGAGCAAGACTTTTTCACTGCTGAATCAGAGCGCACTCTATTGCGTGGATAGACAGATTCTACCAGGACAGGTGAAATTTTACTCAAAACTGGCTGTGTGACAAAAAAGGTTTCTACTAATTAAACGAAAACAACATAAGCTTTTGTAGATGAAGGGCAGGCTCAAGGTTGAGCTCTGAGGGGGGCTAGGTTTTTTTTTCTGTGCCAGGTTTTCTTAGGTAGACTGTGAAGCTCACCACCATTCCTACGTAGATGAGGGGAGAGGTAAACAATTTTAAAACAGCTTAAGATTCCTTCCTATCTAAATAATCAACTCTTACCTATAATTTTGTCTTCAGCTACACACACCCCTGGAGAAAGTGACTTAGCCTGAGAGCTATCCAAAGCCAAATTTAAACATACCTCCCTCTACCTCTGCATTACCACACACATTTTTGTTTTTGGGGGGCTGAGGGGAAGGGCCCAGCAGGAATGTTTGATAATCTCATCCTGCAAATGTACAAACTACTTAGGAAGAAAGCCTCTGACCACCACATTGCTATAGAACAAACAAAAACAGTTCAAATAAGGCAGGAGCTTTAAAACAGCTCCTTTCTTGTAAGTACTCAATCCAAATCTTTTTAAATGGCCCTAAGTTAACACTCTTCCTTCCCTCATTTACATTTTCAAAACTTTAAAACAAAAGAGACAGAAAATGAAAGTCTTTCTTTACCTTGGGTTTTGGCCCCCCGTCCTGCCAATCCTACGGATGAATCACAGGATTCCTTGAGAGGCGATCTGATTGGTGTTTCAGCTTCAGGGGTCTCAAAATTACCTTCAGAATCCGAGCTGCCAAGGGGGAAAAATGAGGAATTACCACTTTCAACGGTACTTCCGACACCTTTTACAGTCTATATATCGACAAAGGCTAAAGTCCAGCATTTTTGCCTAACTTCACAACTCACTAGTCCTCAGCAGGGACTGGCCTGTGGGAGCTCACCATGGGGTTTTCTCGCTGGGCCCTCCTCGGCCTCCTGCCTGGCCTCCTGTCTCCCTGATATTCCTCTAACCTCCAGAGCTTTTCTCCAGCACCATTTATTTTTGAGGTCATCCTTTCTTCTGATATCCCCCCAAAAGCGCTTTTCAACAGACTCCTTTTCTAACAAGAACCCTTTTTCATAGGCTTAAAAATTAAGATTGCCCCTCCTCCTAAAAATTAAGTCAGCTCTCGCCATGATGCCTTTTTCTTAGGCAGGCCTCTACCTGTTTGGAACTCACTCGGCCCCAAGCTGAGAATACTGTCACCTGCCTTCCTCAATCACTCGGTGACAGCTCAGCAAAGACCACCATTTCTCACCAGCTGCCAGGGGCCTGTCATCACGCGACCTTCTTTACCAAGGCTGCATTTTCGGGACACAGAGGGACACCAGGAGGGCCTGGGAGCGACTTCTTCCCCACACGGAGGGCCCCAAGTTCTACCGGGTGTGATCAATGACACTGTGTGTGTGTAGGGGCGGGGGCTGGGGGCTCGAAGCTTAAGGGAAAGTGACTGAAGCAGACCGGGATGCGGAAAGACTGCAGATTCTGGGTTAGGTTCTGAAAGCTCATACTGAAACGGGGGGAAGGTAATACCAGACAGAACATCCTGAACTTTCGAATGCACAGCGGGGACCCGGTTTCGGGTAGGGACGCAGGCATTGCGATGATAATGGTTACGCGGGTGAGCGACCACACACACGCACACAGAATGAGCCGCAGATGGATGGATGGCAGCACGTCTGCATCTCGGCAGGGATGCGTGTACTTGCCTGAAACTCAAGGATTTGGTCTCGGCTTGCGAGTCCTCCTCCTCGGGGTCGCCCTCTGGCCCTCCGGCCTCGTCCTCTCCGGCGCCCCCGCCGCGCACCGCGGACCAGGTCCATTTCGCCCACTGCACTGGCGACAGGATCTGCCAAGGGCTGAACGCCATGAGCGCGGCTCCTCCGGCTCCAGGTCCTAAGAGTAGGGGAAGGGGGAGAGCCTTTTTTCCCTTTCAAAATGGAGGGAACGGGTGACAGGCGCCTGTAAGCGTTTCCAGCGGAGGCGCGGATGTGGTTAAACGAGCGCCGTCGGGGGCCCGGGTGGAGCGCTTCCTCTCGGCCGGCAGGCAGCGCCGCTTCCTCCTCGTCCTCCTTTCCGAACGGTGCGGCCGCGGCCACCCCCGCGCCGGCGACTCCCGCCGGGAAGATGCCTCTCCTGGGGCCTCCTCAGGGCCCCGGCCCGCGGCGCCGGGCGGCTCGGGTCTCGGGGTCTCTGGCTCCCGCCTCCCAGCCGGCGGGGCGCGCATCAGCTGCCGCGGGAGCCGCGCCCCAGGAGCCGCCCCCTTGGACCGTACTATTCGCGCGCTCAGGCGGGGGCGGCGACAGCGCCGGGCCTTTGAAGTCCTCGGCGCGCCCGCCCGATCCCCCCGCCGCGGCGCCACTCTGGTCGCGCCCGGACTGCGGGAAGGGGGCTGCCCCGCTGCGACTCCGGCGGGCAGAGCACCCAGGCGTCCCCCAACAGTTGCTCCGTCAGCGGTAGGAGCAGGGAAGATCCATTTTCTGGGTCCGTGCACGCTGGACATTTCCTCCTTCCCTTATTTTCTCATTTTGCTACTGTGACTTAATGACGTTGTGGCATTGGACCGCACAGAAGTGAAGCCTCTTATTTAAAAAAAAAAACAAACCCACAAACTTTGAGGTCGGTGTTGCCTGATGTTTCTCCCCCTCCCTGACATTGACAGCGTGGAAGATTTCAGCCTGTTCACCTCCGACCCTGTCACTCCCAGGATTTGGAAATTCCTCAGCAATGCTACAAGAGTAGCCAAGCACTGGAACTGTAGATGGTTTGTCCCTCCCCAAACCGCACTCGTGGACACTCTGGGGCCAGGTCTCTGCTAAACGGTGCCAAATTACCTTGTGAAATTATAGCCTGATCGGTTTCCCATTCTCCTTTTTTGAGGCTTTCTCTTCATAACTTCTAAGTCTCTGCTTTCTGACTTCGTTTGCTGCTTCAGAAGTATGCCAACAGTCCCGGTGAAGGCAGCCTTCAAAATAAAAACCCTCTTTATGTTGGAAGGCAGAGGAAAATAGCAGAGCTTTCCTCGGATTTTCTTCATTTTCCAAATAGGGATCACTCGCCTCAATTTCCAATGCACCAAGGAAGCCGGCTGCCACAAACCACAAACACCAGGCTTCACGATCTCCTTGCCTGGATAGGGCGCTTCTTGTCCTATTGTAATTTCCCAGAGTTGTGGTGAATCTGTGAGGTGACTTCAGGTTCTTACAGAAAGGGCAGCTCCAGAATTTAGGAACAAAGTCATGCTGAAACTGCACCAGGCCGACCATCTGCCCTGAAAAGGGTTGGTACTGCTGAGGAGTCATGACTGTCTCACACATTCGATAACAAAAACAGAAGCAAAAATAAGGCAAGATAAGGCATGGCAAGTAGTCTTACCCTAACAGAAGGGCAGAGGTTTGCCTGAAGTCTAGATAAAAGGGTTGGGTGTGTCAGGATGCTTTAGAATTCATCCAGCTCCTTTCCAGAGATAAACACAACTGTCCTGACTGTTCTGGAGATTACAACAATGGGAAGTAAGCAGGAGTCATTTTTTTTTTTAATGTCCACATGAAATACATCACATTATCCAATTCTTTGTATTTTTAGGTTTATGGCTCACCATTTAAAACTTGAGGTTGTAAGGTCCCTTAGGTTCCTGGATTTCACACAAATGTTTTGTTGCCTGGAAATATTACCTATGTAAATCAGTAACTGGCATATCCTAGGTCCTGTTCATTCTTCCTCCTGAGTAGTTCTCTTAATCTTTTCATTCCTCTGCATCCCCACTGTAGCTGACATATAGTTCCCACACTGTCCATTTTTCACAGGTCTACTGTAAATGTCTTCCAACTAGTTCTACCTCTGAGGGTTTTCCCACCTGGGGTCATCCCATCTGACTAATAGGTGACTTGTGCTCTAGTCTTGCTGTTCTTGCTCCTCTTTACTCCCAGCCTTTTGTATTCCTTGCCATAATCAGTAGAGAATTGGTTCTGAACTTTCAATATGTCCCAGAATTATCTGGGATGCTTCTTTAAAAATACTAATCCAGATTACCAGCAGGACCTGGAAATCTGTATTTTTACCAAGTATCTTGGGGAATTTTTTTCACAGGATAAATTTGGGAAACAATGACTAGCTTGGACTGACTAATTGCTGCTTCCGGAACAATTTCCGTTTTGTCTCCAGAGTTTTGCACGTTCCCCTCCTCCTTGCACATTGAGCTCCCAGACCTTGACTGCCCAAACTTCCTTCATCACCCAGCTCAAGAGTCTACCCTGGAAAAACAGGCTGATTTCTCCCCCATCTACCAACTCCATACCCCAAACGTTAACAGAAACCTTTACTGTGGCCCTCAGATGGTTTGAAAGGCAGAACTATTAATAGTTATACCAGACAGCAGGTATAAACCAGGATGTCCCCAAGATATAAGGTCACCCTACCCTTAGCACATGATATATAATGTATTTACTTACATATCTGTCCCACTTCTATACCATAAGCTTCTAAATGGTAGGGACCACATCATATTTGTGATTTATTTTTGTTTCTCTAGACATTAGGACAGGGCTACACACTTAGTAGGTGTTCAGTAAATGAAAAGAAAAGGAATATTCTAGTTTAGTAATAGATCATATGAGTTTGGCTAGGATGACATAAATTCCTAAAGCCTGACTCCTCCTGGGGGAATCAAGTTTGGGAACCAGCACAGTGTGGAACCTGGAGTAAGTAATGGCCCCAGTAAGATAAAACCTGACCTATACAGCAATTTCTTGAAACTGGAGAAGCAAGTGCCCAGGTTTCTGAACATCACTCCTCGGCAAGCTCCTGGACTTAATGTGAACAACAATAAAGGAAGTAATTACTCAACAGCTTGAATTTATTTTATTGCCTAGAAGTTCAAGTAACGAGGCTGATATATCAATTTTCCTGTAATTCTGGGAAAGAATGGGCAACGTTTGAAAACAGATATCCTAACCAAGGTAAACCATTTTGCTATGTCCTCAGCATCACAGAGCAGAATGTCTGCAAACACATGACCACGTAGCCAAATGAAATGTATTTGTTTTGGAAATGACCGAAAGCACAGAAAGGGCCCCATCTGTTCTCTTCCCTCCTCTGCTTCTTGCCCTTCACAGCAGCTTTGGATCAATACGCCATGAAAATTTGAAATGTAACTCCCTTGAAACACCCCATAATTGTGGTGTGGCCAAGCCAGGCACACCCTTGCCTGTAATGGGTGCTCCAGAGGGATCTGCAAGATGGGTCTCTTCAGTTAAAAAAATAACGAAATAAAATAAAATGAAAGGGTAAGCAAACTCAAACAGGCAAACAACTAACCACTGCATAGCAAAGCTATTCTAGAAAAGCCTGTAGGGATGGGGCAGGAGTTGGGGGCAGATGTAGTTGGGGCCTAATTGGTATGGATCCCATATACCTGGTAAAAAGTTGATTTTAACTCAAGTTGAACTTGATCCTGTAATGGGGGGAGCAAACACCAGAACCTCCCTAGGTAACGTAAGGGAGTGACGAGGCCGTAGCAGTAGGTGTGCCATCTGGAGAAGCCTGCTGTGGCTAAGAGGCAGCCCTGCCCAGTTCCTGGTGCCCAGCATTGCCATCTAACAACCTTCCAAGAGAAACTCAAATTGTGGATTTTATAAGACATCTTCCAATCTTTAATGTTCTTACTAATTTAATTTGTGGAGGCCAACATGGTGCTGGGCCAAAACAAAGCCATCAGTGTGCCCAGGGGCCCAGGGTATCTGGATGGGCAGAGGGGAGTCATCAAGCTTTGAGCAAGTAAGTAACATTTCCATTTAGAAAGATCATTCTGGTAGCAACCTGGGAGATTGGAGGGAAGGAGTCAAGATTGGGAGACCCAGAGAACCGCATTTCCCTGCCCCAAACTACCTAGAGACAGCCTCTGCCCCAGAGGGTAAAGAAGAAGAACTGGAATTTGTGTCTTTAGCTTTCACTCCACTTGTTTGGAAAGCATCAGCGCTGTAAGCAATCCAAGCGCAATGGGAACACTTTTACAGGGGGACACGACAGGAAAACCAACTGCTGAGGAAACCGAGTTTCCGACAGCCAGTAAGATGAGAAAGCTTCTGCTCTGAGATGGTGGGAGTGGAGGAGGCAAGGCGGGGGTGGGGGGCAGGACGGCACGAGGGGATAGGGGCTGAAGCAGCCACAGAGAAAACCGAAAGGTCAGGCGGGCAGGCAGACAAGCCCGTCAATGTATCCATATTCTCACAATTTAGGAATCTGGTGAGCAAGAGATACATGGAATTCAACTAAGATTACATGCCAGATGGATGATGTCACCGAAGTGTCTGGGCAGCTCTGAAGCGTGTAGGAAAAGCACTGGTCCGGAGTACAGCAACTCGGTTGACGTGCCTCAGTGGAACCTCCGCAGAACGTCTCCCAGTCCCCCAACCCTGCTTTTTTGAGAGCCATCTGTTCATGGGATGAGGTTTCCAAGATACAATGGGGCATTCCCCGCGTTGGTTACTCCATCACCCTGATCCCTGAATGTTCTCTCCTCACTCACCAAGCTAAACGGCCTCGGGAGGTCCCTAAGACATAATGATTTAACAGTACCTTATTATCAATAAAGTTTCATCCAATCCATATAATCATTCTCTCCAGTAGTGGGGCAGGTCTTATTCTCAGCTTGCAGGTGAGGTAGCTGAAGCAGAAAGGACAACCACCTGTCTGAAGTCATACAGCTAATTGACGCCGAGACTGAATCGAGAATGCTTGTCTGTGGGTACCTTTGGCGCTATATCAGACTGGAAGAAAACAGAATGTCCTCGAAGCCACTGGGTAGCTTGCCATTCTGTCAGCTAGACACTCCTCAGTAGACTGCTGCTGCAGTCCCCACTTCCTGCTTACCTGGCATGAAAGCCACAGCTAAGAATACCTAGCTCCCCCCGCCCCCCCCCCCCCCCCCCCCGCCCGCCAGAAGGCCTGCTTTCCTGGCCAACCTCAGTCTAACCAGGCAACAACGTGCCGATGTCTGCACAAGACAACATGGCCAATAAGGGATTCTGACCTATTCAAATATGTTAACATTACAGTCCGAACCTTGTGAGATCAGATGTTATTCTTACCTATAGGCTACAATCGCCTGTAGAATTACAGTCTTCCCTCCACTACCCAAACACACCCATATCAGAATTTGTACAATGCATTTGCACTGAAAATTGTATCATAAAG